ACTATGCCCAGCCTGGAAGATGGTTTCTAATGAATTTAATTCAATGATTTAGAGAGCCAAAGATGGATTCACCCGGTGCCAGTTAGACTGCTCAAAAGGGAAAGCCATTTATACAATGCACAATTGTCCAGAAAACGATCCCAAGGCACCCAGATTTACAACCTCAGAAAGGACAGAACCCCCTAGGTGCATCTACATGTGAATCTCCATCCAGCTTTCAAGGGCTCTGCAGCTTCTCAGAATCCACACTCCTGGGGCTGTTCTGAGCAGCTTGAGGCCACCAGCAGGGGAGGGAGGACTGCCCAGGAAACCCCAAGGGGAGCTCCATTTCCCTCCCTTTGCAGGCTCCAGACTGGTCTCAATATGGAATCACTGGCCTCAGGCTCTGCTGCCCACTCCAGGTAGCTGGGGTTCAGACAGCAATACCCCAAAAATAAGGCCTCAGAAGCAGGACAGAAGCAAAAGTTTTTCTTTGAATCTCTCCTACCCTCCTGTCTCTCAGTCCCATTCTCCTCAGAGGCTAGCCATAGAAACTAGAATCCCTCTTCCCCAGGATGGGTCATAGAAATTGGAACTCCTAGGCCGGGCATGGTGACTCACTCCTGTAATCCCAGCACTTTGGGAGGCAGAGGCGGGCAAATCACCTAAGGTCGGGAGTTCGAGACGAGCCAGGTGAACATAGAGAAACACCGTCTCTACTAAAAATACAAAATTAGTTGGGTATGGTGGCACACGCCTGTAATCCCAGCTACTCGGGAGGTTGAAGCAGGAGAATCGCTCGAACCTGGGAGGCGGAGGTTGCAGTGAGCTGAGATAGCACCATTGCACTCCAGCCTGGACAACAAGAGCAAAACTCCGTCTCAAAAAAAAACAACAAAAAAAAAGGAAATTGGAACCCCTTTTCCCCAAAGCTGGCCATAACTCCTAAACATATTACTCTAACTTTCCTTCTGCCATTCTATGTAAAAATTGGGCATAATTAATCTGGCTTATCTTGTTTGACTGTAGGTCATAAGACCCCTATTCCAAAGAGGGTCTTGCCCCATACCCAGAATGCAGGAATGTATGCTCAGAGAGCCCGAGAAGAATCTAGGCAGGCAGGCCTTGTTGGGTTCCCCTACTTAGTTAACTAGCATTAAATCACCATTTTTGTCCAATCATTTTTTTTTTTTTTTTTTTTGAGACGGAGTCTTGCTCTGTCGCCCATGCTGGAGTGCAGTGGCACGATCTCGGCTCACTGCAACCTCCACCTCCCAGGTTCAAGTGATTCTCTTGCCTCAGCCTCCCAAGTAGCTGGGATTACAGATGCCTGCCACCATGCCCAGCTAATTTTTGTATTTTTAGTAGAGACAGGGTTTCACTATGTTGGCCAGACTGGTCTCAAACTCCTGACTTCGTGATCTGCCCGTCTCGGCCTCCCAAAGTGCTGGGATTATAGGCGTGAACCACCGTGCCCAGCCTTGTCCAATCATATTTCTATATGGCTGTCCATACTTTGCTAAACATAAGAACAAATATGTACAATTTCCCCTGCATCTCTGGGTCTTCATTCTGAAAGCTCCTGTGTATACACAACGAATATATTCCGTATGCCTCTTTTTTAATTCATCTTCCTTTTGTGAATTGATTTTTCAGAAAACATGAGAAGCTAAAGGGGAACTTTGCCCATGGCTCCTGCAAGGTTATTCACCTGCTTCTTACCAACACTAGGAAGTTAAATGAGACAAAGACCCTCAATCCTGCTGTTTGAATAAGAAGCCAGCAGAGTCCCAGGTTTCCTCTTATGTTTATATATAAAATAGAGGAAGAAAACTCTAAGAGATCTTATATGCATTTAAAAAGTAGGCTGGGCCAGGCACAGTGGCTCACGCCTGTAATCCCAGCACTTTGGCAGACCAAGGTGGGTGGATCACCTGACGTCAGGAGTTCGAGACCAGCCTGGCCAACATGGCGAAACCCTAAAAATACAAAAATACAAAAATACTAAAATACTAAAATTGCAAAAATTAGGCTGGGCACAGTGGCTCATGCCTGTAATCCCAGCACTTTGAAAAGCCGAGGAGGGCAGATCATCTGAGGTCTGGAGCCTGACCAACATGGAGAAACCGTCTCTACTAAAAATACAAAATTAGGCCGGGCGCGGTGGCTCACGCCTGTAATCCCAGCACTTTGGGAGGCCGAGGCGGGCGGATCACAAGGTCATGAGTTCGAGACCAGCCTGGCCAATATGGTGAAACCCCGTCTCTACTAAAAATACAAAAATTAGCCAGGAATGGTGACAGATACCTGTAGTGCCAGCTACTCTGGAAGCTGAAGCAGGAGAATCACTTGAATCCAGGAGGCGGAGGTTGCAGTGAGCCGAGATCGCGCCATTGCACTCCAACCTAGATGACAGAGTGAGACTCTGTCTCAAAAAAAAAAAAAAAGTGTAACCTATCTTTAAAAGTATAACTTATCCTATAAAACTGTAACCTTACTGCCTATCTAACCATGTCTTTTATTACCTCAGCACTCTAACTATGTTCCATGGACCAACACGATGGCACGTGGGAGAGAGTTAGAAATGCGGACTCTCACACTCTGTCCCTAACCTGCTGAACCAGAAGCTGAATTTGAAGATCCATACTTCCCTGTGAAATTTCAGAAGTGCGTCTTACAAGTTTCCCCCTTAACCTGACCCAGCCATAAGGGTACTGCATATTCCTTACCACTGGGATATTTGAATTAACAGAACATCTCAGGTGGAGGCAACAAGGGGCTGGGACTGGAACTGGGAGAGGAGACAAGTGAGACATCCTTAAGAAGATGATGTGGTCAGGGCGAGGCCGCCTTCCCAGCACTGGTATGGCCTGGCCCACTGCTCCTGAAGTGCAGGAATGGCCATTCACGGGAACGGATCAGGAGGATGCATGTGTGGTCAGCAGTGTGCTGAGGCTGTAGTGCTTACACATGGCAACCAATGTGCTCAGTCTGGGATTCAGGGAAGCGTGTGCACTAGCAGGCAGCAAAAGGGTCCCCCTTGTCAGTCAGCCCATCCTGCTCGGAGATGGGCTGAAAGTGATGGTAAAGAAGGGTTTTCTTTGCTCCAAGAGGCCAGTGGTAAAGTCACAACAAATACCAAAATGTCATGTTTCATAAGCTTTTTAGTATACAGCAATTTTAAAACCATCTAAGAATTAAACATATCTCTGGGCACAGTGGCTCACACTTGCAATCCCAGCACTTTCAGAGGCTGAGGTTGGAGGATTGCTTGAGGCCAGGAGCGAGGGGCCAGCCTGGGCAACATAGTGAGACCTCTGTCTCTAAAAAAAAAAAAGAAAAAATTAGCAAGGTGTGGCAGGGTGTGCCTCTAGTTCCAGTTACTAGGGAGGCTGAGGCAAGAGGATGCCCTGAGCCCAGGTTCGAGGTTACAGTGAGCTATGATCATGCTACTGCACTCTATCCTGGTGACAAAGTGAGACCCTATCTCTAAACAGAAAAATAAAAGAAGAGGCAATTAAAACTACTTGTCTATTAGAAATGCACTTCAATGCTGGGCACGGTGGCTCACGCCTGTAATACCAATGCTTTGGGAGGCCAAGGCGGGTGGATTACCTGAGGTCACGAGTTCAAGACCAGCCTGGCCAACATGGTGAAACCTCGTCTCTACTAAAAGTACAAAAATTAGCTGGGCGTGGGGGCAGGCACCTGTAATCCCAGCTACTCAGGAGGCTGAGGCAGGAGAATTGCTTGAACCTGGAAGATGGAGGTTGCAGTGAGCCAAGATCACGCCACTGTACTCCAGCCTGGGCAACAGAGTGAGATTCCATCTCAAAAAAAAAAAAAAAAAAGAAAGAAATATGTAAATATTTTTTACTTTTAGAGACAGGGTCTCATTCTGTTGCCCATGCTACAGTGCACTGATGTGATTTGACTCATTGGAACCTCAGCCTCCCAGGCTCAAGCGATCCTCCCACCTTAGCCTCCCTAGTAGCTGGGACTACAGGTACATGCCACCACACCCAGCTAATCTGTATATCTTTTGTAGAGACAGGGTTTTGCCATGTTACCCAGGCTGGCCTCTAACTCCTGGGCTCAAGTGATCCACCTCCCTTGGAGATCCTTAAGTGCTAGGATTACAGATGTGAGTCACTGTGCCTAACCCAAATACATCTTTTTTAAAAAGGGACTTGCCATGTGTGGATTTAGGTATGCCCAGGGGGTGGTGGCACCAATCTCCTGCACATATTAGGGGATAACTGTATTTGAAAGAAACTGAGGCTAATTAAGGCTTTACTATGTATTTACATTCATAGGGTTTATCTCCAATGAGAATTATTTCTATCTGAAATGAAATAACATTAAAGAATATTTTCCCACATTTCACACATTTATAGAGTATCTCTCCAGTGAGTCCTTTTATGTCTATGCAAGGACCTGAGAGAATTCAATGCTTTTCTACATTTCTTACATTCATATGACTTCTCTCCAGAGTTAATCCTTTCATGTACCTTTTTTTTTTTGAGACAGGGTCTGGCTCTGTTGCCCAGGCTGGAGTGCAGTGCGTCTTGGCTCACTGCTACCCCCACCCCTTGGGCTCAAGAGATCTTCCCACCCCAGCCTCCCAAGTAGCTGGGACTACAGGTGCATACCACCACATCTGCTAATTTTTCTATTTTTTGTAGGGACAGGGTTTCACCATTTTGCCTAGGCTAGTCTCAAGTTCCTGAGGTCAAGTGATCTGCCCACCCAAAGTGCTGAGATTACAGGCGTGAGCCACTGTGTCCAGCCTCATGTACTTTTAAGTTACCAAATGACTGAAGGCTTCAAAATGACCGAAGGGAATGGCTTCCCTACATACTTTACACTCACAGGGTTTTTCTGCTCTGTGAGTTGTTATATATTGACAATGGTATTTTAAAAAAATTGATTGCTTTCCCACATTCCTTACATTCATATAGTATCTCTCCAGTGAGTTGTTTCATGATTTTGAAAGGAATAAAAATTATGAAAGGCTTTCCCACATTTACATTTATAGGGTTTCTGTCCAGTGTAAGTTTATTCATGATGTCAAAGGGAACTGGAAATATAGAAGACTTTATCATTGTTTACATTCATATTGTTTCTCTCCAGTGAGTCTTTTCATGTCTTTGACATACACTAGGATAAACAAAGGCTTTCCCACATACCTTGCATTTATTCGGCCCATCTCCCGTATGCATTACCATATGTCTTCGAAAGCTTGAGCTATGAGATAATGCTTTCCCACACTGCTTGCATTCATAGGGTTTCTCTCCTGTGTGAGACTTTTCGTGTCTTTGACATACACTGGGATAAACAAAGGCTTTCCCACATACCTTGCATTTATGAGGTCCACCTCCAGTGTGCATTATCATGTGTCTTCGAAAGCTTGAGCTATGAGATAATGTTTTCCCACACTGTTTGCATTCATAGGGTTTCTCTCCAGTGTGAATTCGTTCATGATATCGAACTAAACTGGGACGATCAAAGCCTTTCCCACATATCTTACATTTATGAGGTCGATCTCCAGTGTGCCTTTTCATGTGTATTTGAAAGCTTCCAAGATGATGAAATGCTTTCCCGCATTGCTTACACTCATAGGGTTTCTCTGCACTGTGAGTGGTTTCATGTCTTCGAAGGGAACTGGAAACACTGAAGGCTTTCCCACATTGTTTACATACATAGGGTTTCTCTCCAGTGTGAGTTCTTTCATGTCTTATATAGGAACTGGAATCAGGCAAGGCCTTAGAACACTGCTTACATTCATACGGTTTCTCCCCAGTGTGCATTCTCTCGTGTCTTAGATAGGAACTGTAAAAAGGAAAGGCTTTAGAACAGTGCTTACATTCATACGGTTTCTCTCCAGTGTGCGTTCTTTCATGCATACGCAATAAACTGGGCCAAAAAAAAGCTTTCCCACACAACTTACATTTATAAGGTCTGTTTCCACCTTGCACTACCATGTGTCTTCGAAGGTTTCTACGAGAACTGAAGGTTTTTCCACATTCCTTACACTCATAGCGTTTCTTTCCAGTGTGAGGCCTTCCATGCAACTGAAAGGAGTGATGATAACTGAAGGCTTTCCCACGTTGTTTATGTGTATGTGGCTTCTCGCCATATTCCTGATACTCACACGGTTTGAATCCAGCGTCAACTCTGATGTGGCTCTTAAGGGATAAATGACCCATTATGACTTCTTCACACTCGGTGCTTTGACATGGATCTTCTCCAGGACAAATGCTGTTGTTCACAATACTACCTCGAATCAGGCTAAATGGTTCTCCACATTGACTACTGTCTTTACTTTCACTGAATCTCTCTACCATATGACATCTATAAAAAATGAGAAGTATGTTACTAAATAGTTGTTTCTAAATGATTTTATGTATATTAATAGGTATCAGATGTACTTTTTCTTTCCTTTTTTTTTTCCTGACATGGAGCCTTGCTCTGTCACCCAGCCTAGAGTGCAGTGGCACGATCTTGGCTCACTGCAACCTCTTCCTCCCGGGTTCAAGCAATTCTCCTGCCTCAACCTCCCAAGTAGCTGGGATTAGAGGTGCACGCCACCATGCCCAGCTAATTTTGTATTTTTAGTAGAGATGGGGTTTCGCCATGTTGACCAGGCTGTTCTCAAACTCCTGACCTCGTGATCCACCTGCCTTGGCCTCCCAAAGTGCTGGGATTACAGACGTGAGTCACTGCACCTGGTCAGATATACCTTTTTAACATTACCATGCAAAGTGTAGGCTTCATGCCCTGTTTGAACATGAATGAACTGAAGGCTATGCAAGGCAACCCAACACCAGCAGGGTTTTTGGGTTTTTTTTCTTTTAATTAATTAATTTATTTTTTGAAACAGGATCTTGCTCTGTCACCCATGCTAGAGTGCAGTAGCAGGATGATGGTTCATGCAGCCTTGACCTCCTGAACTCAAATGATCTACCTACTTCAGCTTCATGAGTAGCTGGAACTATAGGTGTGCACCAACACACTTGGCTAATTTTTTTTTTTTTTTTTTTTTTTTTTTTTGAGACAGAGTCTTGCTGTGTCGCCAGGCTGGAGTGCAATGGTGCAATCTTGGCTCACTGCAACCTTTGCCTCCTATGTTCATGCAATTCTCCTGCCTCAGCCTCCCAAGCAGCTGGGGTTAAAGGTGCACACCACCATGATCGGCTAACTTTTGTACTTTTGTAGAGAAAGGGTTTCGCTACGTTGGCCAGGCTGGTCTCCAACTCCTGACCTCAAGTAATCTGCTCGCCTCAGCCTCCGAAAGTGCTGGGATTACAGGCATGAGCCACCATGTCCAGCCTCATATGTAAATTCTTAGAATATGTTTTAGGAGGAAATTTTTAAAGACTAAATAAATTTAGGCTGGTGCAGTGACTTACGCCTGTAATCCTAGCATTTGGGGAGGCCAAAGTAGGCAGATTGCTTAAGCGCAGGAATTCAAGACCAGCCTGGGAAACATGCCAAAACCCTGTCTCTACAAAAAATACAAAAATTAACCAGGTGTGGTGGTGTGCAGGTGTAGTCCCGGCTACTCAGGAGGCTCTGGTGGGAGGGTCACAAGAACCTGGGAGGTTGAGGCTGCAGTGAGCCAAGATCATATCACTGCACTCCAGCCTGGGCAACAAAGCAAGGCCCTGACTAAAAATAATAATAATAATAATTTTAAAAATTAAAAAATAAATTTAAGCTGGGTTTGTTCATTTTGTTTTTAAAAATTCCTTTCATTCTAAGACTCACTTCAGAAACATGACTTTCTCCTGTGAGTGCAAATTACCTTAGATTTCTCCTAGGATTTTTGTTCTGATCTTCAGTATTCTGGCCTTCCCATATCTTTCCTAAAAGGTAGACCCAGAAAATCACTATAAATTATTCTAAAATTACATAAAACACTAAGATTTTACGTATACTGCAATCATACATGATTCATTCATCAAACTACAGTTAATTCTGTACAGTTTGGGGGTGGAGGCAGAGTCTCACTCTGTTGCCCAGGCTGGAGTGCACTGGCATGATCTCAGCTCACGGCAACCTCCGCCTCCTGGGTTCAAGCAATTCTCCTGCTTCAGCCTCCTGAGTAGCTGGGACTACAGGTGCCTGCCACCACACCCAGCTAATTTTTGTATTTTTATTGGAGACGGGGTTTCACCATGTTGGCCAGGCTGGTCTCGAACTCCTGACCTCAAGTGATCTTCCCACCTCAGCCTCCCAAAGTGCTGGGATTAGCGACATGAGCCACTGTACCCGGCCTTACAGTTGATTCTTTAACACATGTTTGAACTGCACAACTCCACCTATATATGAATTTTCTTCAGTCTCTGCTATCCCTAAGACACCAAGATCAATCCTTCCTCTTATTTAGCCTTCTCAATGTAAAGATAAGGATAAAGACCTTTTAATCATCTACCTCCACTTAATGAATAGTAAATATAGTTTCTCTTCTTTATGATTTTCTTATCAGTATTTTCTTTCTCTAGATCACTTTATTGTGAGAATATAGTATGTAATACATGACTTACAATATATGGATTAATATGGATTAATCAACTTTATTTTATTTTATTTTTTTGAGAGGGATTCTCGCTGTGTCTCCCAGGCTGGAGTGCAGTGGCATGATCTTGGCTCACTGCGACCCCTGCCTCCTGGGCTCAAGTGATTCTGCTGCCTCAGCCTCCTGAGTAGCTGGGATTATAGGCACACGCCACCATGCCCGGCTAACTTTTATATTTTTAGTAGAGACGGGGTTTCACCATGTTGGTCAGGCTGGTCTCGAACTCCTGACCTCATGATCCGCCTGCCTTGGCCTCCCAATGTGCTGGGATTACAGGCGTGAGCCACCGTGCCCAGCCAATCAACTGCTTATGTTACCAGTAAGGTTGCTGGTCAATGGCTGCCTAAGCTGTGGTAGACAAAAAATTATATGAGGAAGTACTTCTTTCAGGGCTGTCACCTCTGAATTCTGTGTTGTTCAAGAGTCCATCATATGCCCTTTCCATATTTCAAATCATTGAACAGCACTGATGACCATGAAACAAATGTCTATAATTGATTAAGTGAAGACATGATACCATCCTTACTTATACAGTCCAGGTTCTTGATGGTTTCTTGCATCACATCTCTGTACAAATTCTTCTGTGATGGACCCAGCAAAGCCCATTCCTCCTGGGTGAAGTTCACAGCCACATCCTCAAAGGCCACTGTGTCCTGAAACATTCCACATAGATAGAGGACAAAGGTTGAGTGACAGTACTGAAAAAGCTATACTCAATTCATAAACTTCATATGATGCTGTGCTTTTCAAGCATTTATTCAATGACATAGTAAACTCTCTCATATTCTCTCTATACTCACTTTCTCCCACACAGCCATTTTGATGGTAGAATTCAACATGTTTGGTAAAGTTACTTTACCAAACAGGTAAATAGGAACAGGTTTCTTCTTGGTGAGTTAAATGAGTCTTATTGCCTGGATCACCCTAATGTCTATTCCTGTAGTGGGTTGCAGTTCTTGTCAAAGTCCTACTGACAAAGTCCTACTACTGATTGTGCAGAAGAGAGCCACCATTAGCAGTCCTGAGACTACATGTCCTTACAAATTCTTATTCTCAAAGTTGGACCTTTTATGGTGTCTAGGAACTGGATTTAGGGAGTGCCCCACAATGTAACTAATAACGGGGCTTGATTGTATCTAAACTGTTTATGCAAAAAGTATATTATTTTCTTAACTCCTATGTTCTAAGAGTTTAGAATCTTACAAACTCAGCAGAGGGAGTGTATGTGATCAGCCACTGCTAAGTTTGAATGGTTGTCCCCTCCAAAACACATGTTGAAAGTTAATCCGCAAAGTGGGAGTAATAAAAGGTGGGGACTGAAAAGGTGATTGAGTCTTGAAGGTTCAGACCTCATGAATAAGTTAATCTATTCATGGATCAATGGCTTAATGAATAAATAAATTACCTCAGGAAGGGGACTGGTGTCCTTATAAGATGGAAAAGACCCGAGTTAGGCACTTCGGCTGTTGCCATGTAATGCTTTGTGCAATCTAAGAACTCTGCAGATTCCCCACCAGCAAGAAGGTTCTCACCAGATGCCACCAGCAAGAAGGTTCTCACCAGATGCCA